AAAAAAAGAGTAAACAGTATTCGTATAACCTCCTTAATGTTTTCGGATTAGTCATATGACAAAATTCTAGAATTTAAAATAGTATTAGTGCTTATAATTATAATTAAAGTGCCACAGGCATCTCTCCCACAACATAATCAATGAGTTAAAGAGGATTGAGGTGCAAGAAAGGTTCAGAATTGCTTTGGTGTCAACGAGGCAACATCTCAGTCTCAAAAAAATCGTGATCTAAAATATCTGTTTATTTTCAAATGAATTCATACGGTCTTTCAAGCTCCTAAAGATCGTTTAAAAAACGATTTGGGAAAAGAGATTTTTGAAAGGGCAAAAAGGAGTTACTTCGGCGATTACCTGTTTTGGAACTCCAAGGTTTTTGATTTCGTTACAACTTTGTGTGATGAGATTATTTGACATACTGATCAAAAGTATCACATCCTCTCCATGAAATAGAGATTTATTCATTGTAAGATTACGCTGGAAAGACCAGGAATGGGTCAAAATCACCAAATTCAAAAAAAAAGATTCAGTTAGTTATTTGGCGTACTGATTATGAATTTCCTGTCTATTTCGTATTTGGAGACCTATTTATATTACAAAATTGGCACAAGAATAACTGAACGTTCTTCGGAAAGATCGAAGATTTTGTCCATTTCATCGTTTATTTACCTTTATCCTACGTTAAAGGCCTATTGTGGGGGAATATGCTTCTTAATAATCACAATGCCAAATGACTACACTAACCTCTTTTCAGCCAAATTTGTGGTTCCCCATTTATGCTGCACCAAACCTACATTGATTTTCTGCTGTGAAAAACGGATATAATATTCTCAATCATCATTCATATAACCCTCCACCCTATCAGATAAATACGCTGAAAATTCAATGTCGGGAAAAAAAGGAAGTATGTAGTCCTTACTTTGCCTTCTTCTTTCACTTTCACGATTTTTTTTTTCAACTAAAACCATGTCTGCTTTGGCTAGCAAACATTTTATAGAGCAATATATTCTTTCTAG